CTCAAGAAAATTTCTTAGCCATTTCTTGTACGTCATTTTATATGGAGTTTTTGCTTTTCTTGAGAGCTGCATACAGGCCTTTAGCCATTTCTTGTACGTCATTTTATATGGAGTTTTTGCTTTTCTTGATAGCTGAATACTGGCCTTAAGTCCTGTATGCAGCTCTCAAGAAAACGGTCAAGAAAAAAATGCCATTATTTCGCGTGTGTGTCCAAGGAATTTTCACATTTTTGATACTTCACAGCCTGTTGCCTCACTCTTTCCTCAAGAAATAATGGAAGGGGCATATATTTCTGTTGCAAACCTGGGTTGCCTTGTGCTCTTTTTCACAAAAAAACTTTAGAAAACCGTAATAGAAAGCGTAGTAAATTTCTTAAGAACTGCGTACTGCCGTAAGGAAATTTGGCTCAAGAAAATGTCTTAGCCATTTCTTGTACGTCATTTTATATGGAGTTTTTGCTTTTCTTAAGAGCTGCATACAGGCCTTAAAGGAAATTTGACTCAAGAAAATTTCTTTGCCATTTCTTGTACGTAATTTTATATGGAGTTTTTGCTTTTCTTGAGAGGTGCATACAGGCCTTTAGCCATTTCTTGTACGTTATTTTATATGGAGTTCTTGCTTTTTTTGAGAGCTGCATACTGGCCTTAAGCCCTGTATGCAGCTCTCAAGAAAACGGTCAAGAAAAAATTGCCATTATTTCGCGTGTGTGTCCAAGGAATTTTGACATTTTTGGTACTTCACAGCCTGTTACCTCACTCTTTCCTCAAGAAATAATAGAACGGTCATATATTTCTGTTGCAAACCAGGGTTGCCTTGTGCTCTTTTTTCACAAAAAACTTAAGATAACCGTAGTAGAAAGCCTAGTAAATTTCTGAAGAACTGCGTACTGCCTTAAGGAAATTTGACTCAAGAAAATTTCTTAGCCATTTCTTATACGTCATTTTATATGGAGTTTTTGCGTTTCTTGAGAGCTGCATACAGGCCTTTAAGAAGTAAACAACGAAGAGAACAAAAAAAAAACGCGTAATTGTTGAACGCATGAATAATCATTTTTACTATGCAAATTCTTCTATAAATCATGCCGTTGGGTTAAATTATTCTTTACCTTATGTGTGCACAGGTTGTCACAAGCGAAAATTAAGAAAATTGCAGTAAAAAGTCACCACCAAATTTTAAACAACGAACAAATGTTAATAAACGGCTAATGTCAAAGTCGTCCAATTTTTTTCCTAAATGCGATTATTACGGGCTACTAAGAAGAAGGCGTGATCTTGTATTTCGACATTTCTCTCTTTTGAACTGCGACTAAAATGTCAACTCTTAACCCTATACTATTCAAAATTATATTTATTTTTAATATAAATTTTCAATTGTGAGCTGTGCGACTGATTTTAAATACATGATAAAATAAAAAGGAATTACGGGCGGTATGTTGTGTTTGTGAGCANATACGTCATTTTATATGGAGTTTTTGCGTTTCTTGAGAGCTGCATACAGGCCTTTAAGAAGTAAACAACGAAGAGAACAAAAAAAAAACGCGTAATTGTTGAACGCATGAATAATCATTTTTACTATGCAAATTCTTCTATAAATCATGCCGTTGGGTTAAATTATTCTTTACCTTATGTGTGCACAGGTTGTCACAAGCGAAAATTAAGAAAATTGCAGTAAAAAGTCACCACCAAATTTTAAACAACGAACAAATGTTAATAAACGGCTAATGTCAAAGTCGTCCAATTTTTTTCCTAAATGCGATTATTACGGGCTACTAAGAAGAAGGCGTGATCTTGTATTTCGACATTTCTCTCTTTTGAACTGCGACTAAAATGTCAACTCTTAACCCTATACTATTCAAAATTATATTTATTTTTAATATAAATTTTCAATTGTGAGCTGTGCGACTGATTTTAAATACATAATAAAATGAAAAGGAATTACGGGCGGTATGTTGTGTTTGTGAGCAAGGACAACAAACTTGTGCGTTATTGTAAAACTCCGAAGTATCAATGCTTCATTAGGAGACTCTTCCCGTGTGCGCGAAGACCATTTTAGTGCCAGTGACTTTATTTGTTGCCCATCGCAGCCGGGTATTTCTAAGCGGACGCGTTTGTTCCCAGGTGCAGGAATTATTATACCGAATATGAAGAGAAAATCTGCCACTCATATACATACATCGATAGACCAAACTTCAAATGGTGGTCTAATAAAACCTAAACCGGAATTCGTTGTTGACATAAAGAAACTGAAATTAATTTTTAATAAATTTAATGGAAAGGAAATTTCGAATTGCAAAAAATTAATAGCTGAATTATTGAAGTTAAGTTCTCATGTAAATTTAGAATAATCAAACCTTTTTTTAAATGTCTAATATACTTTAAAATTAAGTATTTGAATAAAAAAGTAAATGCTTAAAAATATTGGGCTAGTAAAAGCAAGAAAATTGCCAAAATGGATTTATAAATAAGTGTGCTTCACTTAGTATGTAATTTTGTGTAAGTATGCATTTCCACGTTTACATTAAAACGAAAGTGCAATACCTAAAATTAAGCTGATTCTAATGAGATTTTAAAAATTTTCATGTATAAAAAAACTTTCATTTCAAAGATATTAGCCCGCAGTTATAGTCAAAATAAAGTCGACTCTTAAGATAAAAGCCGCTTCTTTTGACAGATATCCCATTGAAAGTTATGTCAATAAGCTGCTTTTAACTTTAGGAGTCGACTTTATTTTGACTATAGCTGCGGGCCGTTGTGTTTTATCAAATATGGTAAATGCATAACAAAGGGTTAATTTCTTTGTTTACATTTTTTGACATTACAGTCAGCTATGAGAGAGCTCAACTGAATTGTCACTTCTACCTTTTTGAATATGCCTTGGGTAATACAGCCATTTTCATTTGTTTGCTTCTTTACTTTGTTGAAGAAAAGTAGTGAAATGGTTAAACGCGTTTTATATTGTGGCGTATACTGCGGCAACGCGTAGCGAACTACGAGAAATAGGCAGAATGTTCGACGAATGACGTAGAATGTTCCACACAAGGCGCATCAATACAAGGTGGTGTTGATTGATCAGCTGATTGGATATTTTTGTCTCTACACTAGCACAGGAGAATGTCATCCAAGACGAAGCGGCGCAACTTTAGGATGTTAACAAAAGAAAATGATGAAAATTATCTCCTATTCCCTTTCGTTTTGACATCCTCCTGTACCAAAAAGCAATAACAAAATACACGGGACTTTTACTTATATGCAATCAACACCACCTTGTATGGATGCGCCTTGGTTCCACAAAGAGAAACGTCAAGTTGGATGAACACTGCGAACAGCGAGAGAAAGAGAATGAGCCAAGAATGATAGAATACAAGATTGCGCCGTCCTGGGCGTTGACATTTGTGTACCACAAGTAAACAAAGAATATAGCGAAAAGAAGAACGAGTTGAAACTGCCAAAGCTGTTTACTTTACAGCGAAGAACGTGTTTTAATTTTGCTAAATGCAAAAATATTGCATTTATCACCGAATCTATTAGAGAACAGTGAACATTTTAGTGCACTCCATTGCTTTGCAATTGAGGCTGCTTCAGCAAACGTTTTAGTGCACTCCATTGCTTTGCAATTGAGGCTGCTACAGAAAACTGCAGCAGCATCTCTGCGGGATTTATTAGTTAACTTGCTAATGGAGGCTGCGTGGAGCAGAAACAAAATCATTGTGAGGAAATGCTTTTAAAATAATAATAGAGAAACATTTCGGGAACAACTTTGCCGTGCCCTATGTACACAAAATGCAGCGACTCGTCCCAGCGCTACACTTGCATCTAGGCTTCCTGCATCTTGACGGCTGTCGCAATTTAACACACAGCACTTCATAGTATTAGTTTTTACGCAGTCCTCAACTCAAAAATCACTCACAAATTGCAAATTGACACAATTTAAACTGATTTTTCACTAATAATTCATATTTCTCTTTCGCTGATTTNGCAAAATGTAGACGCGTAAAAAACATACCTTTGAGTGTGACAAAATGTAGACGGCGTCGTTTTCCAATTTTGTATGGGAAACAACAACACCACAGATTTTACGGTTAGAAAACGTCTTAAAATGTAGACGTCTACATTTTCAGACACTATTTGGAACGAACTGTGAACACCCCAAATGTATTTATTGTAAACAAATCATACGTGAACTTTAAAAAGATCGTGCACTTATGCAAGTACAAGTGATAGCAGCACTTTTTATATGAGAATATGCTAATGGAAGTGCAAAAAATTTAAATAACAAATTACTTAAATATAGTATTAAAAAAGTGAAAATAGGGAGAATTTATGTAAACATATCTGTTTCTTAGCATCTTCGTAAAGTTTCATGAGAAAATTCGTTATAGTTTTGCTAAAACACACACCTGTCGATGTACACTAAAGTCAACCGTAACCGACCGTACCCAAAAGGTATCTGCACGATTGGAAATTCTTTAGATGGTGTGAATACCGTCAATTGTGTCTTTAGTAGTCTGGCAGGGCATATTATCACAGAGGGCTCAATTCGCCATCCAAATCCTCTGTTTCGGCACTATCCAAAATGCAACCATGCGGTGTGAAAAGTGACATAAATAGCAAGAAAAGCAATGGAAAGCCATTAACTTTGACAGTTGAAAATTGTTCGTTAAGTGTTGTGCATCGGGCAATATTTCTCTGGGTTTTTGGTTGCAAAGTGGTATAGTGAATTAAACAAAAAAGTTATTTATTAAATACGAAAACTAAAATGCAATTAGAAAGGAAAAAGTCATACAAAAGCCAGATACGGACTAGAAATAAACATTGTTTGCAAAAAGACACGTCCAGTGATACAAATAAACAGTCATCGGTACGTTGTTTATCATCTTCAGGCGCTCCATTAGCCCCAACGCTCTTGTTGCCATCCATACTGCCGCTTGAAAAAAGTGAAAAATCAATGCTTCATCATTTATTATGTTGCCCGGATGCACTTCAATCTCGACGTAGCAATCACAGTGCATCCAATCGTTCCCGTGTGCATTCAAAAGTGCAAAGCCTTCCTATACTCGTGTTATCTATAATTGCTATATATGAATGCTTTTCTTTTGGCATCTGTGCAGAAATCAAAAGTAAAAGTGGTTTATTGAGTGGATCATTAGAAACATCAGGGGGCGATCTGGTACCTAGAATTATCGAAAATGTTCCTAGCGAAAGCAAGAGCAATGCATCTGTGGCGCAATACTCAGATTCAGCACAACTTAAGTAAGTGGATGTATATTTATATTGTAAACAATTATGTATAGAATGGTTGCATTGAAATCAAAATAATAAATGTTATCCCATTTAATTTAATGTTGCAAGATTCATTCCTATTAAGCAAACACCAAAACGAGATGCTACTTGTGCGCATGTCACTTGGCGCATTGCCAATAATGAAATATAATTATTTTATCGTTTGTTGACAAATTCGTTATAATTATTTTTTTAAATTAATTAATATTCCTCTATTAGTTTTAGGATTACGTTCGTTTACAGAACGTTAGGCATTTGATCTTTGGTTTTAATATTTAAGGCATCGATAGAAGCTATAGTGCTGTTAGACATGGCAATCCAAGCACTTTTTCCAAGTCTTTTGCTGCCCAAATGCGAAATCGAAACTACTTTCCCGTGTAAACAGCCTGAAAGTCCGGAGAAACTTTCCTTTATGGCTGATCGTTGTGTGCGTGCTGCGGAGGAGAGGGGGCGTTGCACTTCCCACACCCCATTTTAGGGAGCCATGAACTGCAGTTTTCAAAAACGTAACTCCCAACTGCCGAGGCCCCAGGGAGCCCTTACAAAAATGAGCAAAAATCACAATTTTTACTTGCGTTTTCGCTTGTTTCCGAGTAGATGAAGGCACTAACTTGAGCCTTTCCGTGTTGCGGAACTAGAGTAGGGCCGCTTAGGGTTTATAACCCTTATTCTTTATTTAAAATTAGTACAATAACACTTAGTCTTTTGAAGTACAACAGCAATATATGTAACTTAACAGATTTAGAGGTAATATTAATACTATTAATGCAGGAAATAAAACAAAAGATGTACAAACTAAAAATTATGGACTAGATAAAAACTTAAATATTAAGAAGGTTCATCAACTATGTAGACGAGAAATATATATGGAGGGAACTTTTAAAGTTGCTTTTGTTGAATTTGGTTTTAACGGCATGAGGAATAGAATTCCAAATACGAATAGCGTTAATGAAAAACAGTCTGGCAGAGTTTTTAAAGTTGTATGAGGGCAGAATTAAGTCAGAAGAACGTTCCGACTTTGGAAAAATAAGTTTGTCATACAGATAACGTGGGGTTCTCATATGTATAAGTTTATAGACGAAAATGCAGTTCCTGGCTTTTAGGTAGTCTGAGATGTATGGTCAAATTTCTGTAATCCATACACATACCGGGTAACATAATTAAATTGAATGCCAATTTTGGGAGCAGAATTAGAGTCAAGCATACTATATACCAACTCAGAGTATGTAATTATCGGTAAGATTAATTGTAGGGCAAGTTTATGCCTAGTACTAACTGGAGTGAAAGATGCAGATTGCCTGAGGTACCTAAGAGTCCCATAAACTTTGTTTACAACAGAGTTAGTATGATCTATACAGCTAAGAGAGGAGTTGATGACAAATCCCAAGTTAGTAACTTTACTGACCAGCTTTTAAGAACAATTGTTTAAACGGAGAGCTGGAATGATATCATAATTAAATTTTCTCTTATGCACGGGTAAAACATATGATTTCTTTGGATTTAGGCAGAGTCAGTTTTGAGTGGTCCAGCGGGAGATAGAGTCTATATCATTGTTTAAATTAGCCGCAACCGTATCTATGTCATCAAAGGAACAAGATAAATAAAGCTGAATATCGTCAGCATACGCATGCATTGTTGCAAAGTTACACGTTAAGAAAATGTCATTTACAAAGATACTAAATAGCAAAGGACCTAAGATAGATCCTTGGGGAGCACCACATTTCAAGGATTTAATCTGCGAGGTTACAGACCCAATTTTCACTCGTTGAGACCGGCAATTTAAGTAGCTCTTCATGAAGCTGATTCACCAAAACCGAAATAAAATTCGAGCTTGGAGCAAAGCAGGGAAAGGTCAACTGAGTCAAACGCTTTTGAAAAATCAAGCAAACATAAAAGAGATAATTCTCCTTTGTCAGTAGAATGTTTTTTTCTGTGTTGCCAAAGAAGAGGGGCTCTACACGGTTTGCACAGAACACCTTTCTTTTGTCAAGTGTCATCCTTTGCCAACGTGTACATGTGGTAAATAAAGACGTAATAAGCGAAACAAAAGTGACCATATAGCTTTGTAAGCAGCAGTTGATGGTGTACAACATAATTTTTTTTTATAGAATTAGTTAATATTGAATAATAAAAGTAAATTTAAGAAAAGTGTGATCCTTTATAAAAAAAATTAAAAGTGTAATAGCAACTCAAATTATTGGAATCGCTTTCGAGAAATGATTTCAACATTCTCGGACTGCACCAGCAAATTATAAGTAGCTGTTAAGTAGCTGTTAGACGTGGCAAGTGCAAGTCGTTTTCAAAGGTCTGCCAAATTAAAGAATTTCCAACAGAGGATGCAGGAGCAGTTACACCTTGCATGTCAAGTGGCTTTCGAAAGCAGTTTTTGTGTCTGAAAATCAAAGTTTTGTCTGTTTACTAGAGCAGGAGAAACATCGATGCATCGATGTTTTTATATGAGCTGCTAACATCGATGTTTTTGCGAATTGCAAACCTACATTTATTTGGCGCGTAAAAAGGTAAAATTAAGCAATTATTCATAAGCCAGCAAAAATCTTAATAATATTTAAAAGATGTTTAAAAACGTACCTCATTTACAGGAGCGAGAAAACTGTTTTCTGGGCATGAATCACGTATGACGACAATCGTCTGAACGATATCGTGTCGAGATTGTCTTGCTTCATAGAAATCAAAAATTGTTTGATCGTTTGTGCGATATCGTCAACTCGATTCCAGTTTTGCTTCACGTAACAGTAACAGTAACACGTAACACCAACACAAAGACATTCCCACGACAGCCGGTTCTACGTACCGGAATGACTCGGGGGGGTTTTACCCGACCAAGGGCTGTTGTTTCGGCGATCTAACCCCGTTTAGGTCGGCGAAGTATCTCAGAAGTTGTTCGTCCATAGGCCTACATTCGCTACGTTTTCTCCTACTCAGGGCTGGCATCGAGTCAAACCCAGGGCCAGAAAGCTACACCTACTGTATGCCAGAGACGACTACACCACAACTCCACCTCTGTCAAGTGCAATGCTTGCGAGGGGTGGTGTCACCTCAGAGTCTGCTCAGGACTACGGACTCATCGGCAGTGGACCACGTTGTATGTGGCCCCTTGCTGCTCAAACAGAGCAGCCACCACGGCAAACCTCAGTCCACCAGAGCAGCCTCACACAGTCACCACAGCACAATAACATAATAACTCCACAGACCATACCACAGCCACGACAGACCATAGAACACACACAGCCGCACCACCACCCACACGCCGCCGCCAACAACTCCTGGTTCCTCCTACAATCTGTACGGTATGTCAGACCAGGATATTCCGTAATGTGACATCAGTCAAGTGCAACACCTGCCTTGGCTGGTGCCTTTTTAGGGCATGCTCAGGTCTGCGTCACACGCGAGACTGGACGAGGAACTTCGAGGCCCCGTGTTGCGCTGCTCGGTCGCAGACCGCAACTGCGACGCCTTCCGCCACCACCACAGGGCGGCAACCATGACAGCAGCGCACACAGCCAACGGCAGTAAGAACACACACATCCCTTACACCCCACATCACAACACGTCTCCTGAACCACATGAAGCTCCTTCAATTTAACTGTAACGGGCTACAGAGCAAGATTGAGGAGATAACCGTCTTTATGTGTCGGCATGGTATATTGATAGCTGCGGTCCAAGAGACGATGCTGCACAGCAATTCAACATTGTTGAATTGTGCCGGGTACAACATGCACCGTCGAGATCGCGAGCGAGATAATGGTGGTGGCTTAGCGTTCATCACGCACCACATCGTCTTATCGAAGTAGACATCGACCGCAGGGATACCACCCTAGAATGTCAGGGCATTGCTATCCGGTCAGGCGATGTCGAGCTCGAAATATTTAACATATACATACCCCCTGTCACCTGCTGCCCGGCAGGATATCACCCTGATATAGGTGCGCTCCTCAGAGGTGAAAACCGTATGCCCATCACGATATTTGGCATTCAAGCCTGTCAAACGATCGTAGGGGAACAGAATTGGCTGAGCAGATAGACGATTCGACATTCTGCACAATGAACGACGACGCACCCACCAGGATTATGGGTAACTGCAGCAGCTCGCCAGACATCACCATAGTCAGCGCTGGTCTGATAAACAGCATAACATGGCGACCTATGCTGACTTTAGCATCAGACCATCTACCCATAGTCATCTCGACAGATAAACCAACCGACTTTGCCTCCGCTAAACACCGGACCTGTATCAACTTCTCTAAAACTGATTGGAAAGGTTACGTGGAGTTTACTGAAAACACCTTCACTGCGCTTCCCACACCAACCGACGTCCATCTCGGTGAACGTAAGTTCCGCAGGGCTGTCACTGCTGCTGCAACTCGCTTCATACCGGCAGGATGTATAACGGACCCACGTCCAAACTTCCCTGCCGAAGCGGCTGTTCTAGCCGATGAGCGTGATAGCCTTCGTCAGGCCGATCCCGGAGATCCCCGTATCAGGGATCTCAACGCGGAGATTCGGCAACTAGTAAACGTACATAAGCGGAAGAAGTGGGAGGAGCATCTGAAGACTTGTAACTTCACCTCTGGTGTGAGCAAGCTTTGGTCAACCGTGAGGTCGCTGTCCAATCCGACGAAGCACGACGACAGAGTCGAAATTTCCTTCGGCGACCATGCTTCGTCGGACCCGGAGCGATGCGCGAGCTATTTTAGCCGGCAGTTCATACTGCATCCTCCGGTGGACAAAGCCAAGCGTCGAGTGACCAGAAGGCTGCACAAACTGCCAACAACCTGTGCCCCCCTTGCTTTCACTTGCGGTGAAGTTCAGGTGGCCATCGGGAAGGCGAAAGCCTCCAAAGCCATGGGTCCCGACGGAATATGCATGCTGATGCTGAAAAATTTGGGTCCTGCGGGGGTAGCGTACCTAACGGAGGTCCTCAATTTGTCAATGGCCACTCTCATCATCCC